TTGACTGACTAATCTATCCAAATACTCTGTCTCAATGGTCTCATGGTCAAACGAGAATGAGAGTGGATGAGAGTTGCAACAATAGCTCGAGTTTGGCCGCCACCTCATCAACTCTCATTAACTTTGAGAATTGATGAGAGCATTCAGTACGCCGCGCGGCAATATCCAGTCAACTCTCATCAACTCTCATGCCACTGACCTTGTTCTCGTTTGACTGGGGCATTAAAGTTGAGAAAATATTCATGCAAACTCTCGCTTCTCAACTCTTATTCTCGTTTGACCAGGGCTTTTACCTGTGACCTGTCTCACAACCATGAAAATACCTGAAAAATATCAGCGTAACCAGCAAGGGATTCTACACCTTCCTGGATACGGGCTCCGCCTGAATCATTTAATCCAATCACTGGAGCACCAACTAACATAGCTTTATCCATAACCTTCATGAATGGACGAAAAAGACAGATGAGCTAATTGCCTGCTTTTATTTGGTTGCGACTATCATGACCATGTCATTATATCACGCTCGCTATAATGTGAAATATCCATGGTGATGCTCCAGCTTTATATCTTTTTTGTCATGTATGAAATCAATCTTAACTGATGGTGAAGATATTTTGGCGATTGTATATATTAATATGTAACATGTGCAAACTTGATGACATTGTCATTGATGATATGTTTGCAACTTCTACAACCTTATCGACATATCCTTTTCTTGAAACAGATTTTGCATTGGGAACGGTTTAACACGTTTTCAATAAACAATACGGCTCTAAAAAAACTAAACATGATCTGCTCAAAAGAGCTTCTGCATGAAAGAGATAATTTCGTATTCAGTAATTTTATTAATCTTCAGTTACTGTCTGCATGTATGTTATATATTCACCTTGCATATTTTCTTAGCATGAGCTCCTGAAAGACTTCCACCAAACACAGTAAAATCCTAATTATTTGCAAAGAAGATAGACACAGCTATTTTTAACATTAATAATATTTTAATACGTACAAATATTTTTGGAAATCGTATTACGAAATGCATTGAGATGAAATGTATTATGTATGGTATTTGTGACTTAAATAACGTATACTCTCGCATATTACATTATTTATAAGTTTCAAAGTTAGATTTCTTGTAAAATGTGATATACTAATTATGAAGATATGATTAAGCATGCAATGCAAGTTACAAAATTAAAATGTTTTATTAAATAGAAAAACGTTATTGACAGTTGTATATAGTATTATATATTAGCACACCAGATAATTTTTAACAAAATTACCTGACTGAAAACAAAACATATTCTCCCATTTATTAAGCCTTGTCCAGTCACAACACTGTCACCTGTAATCTGTTATGAACAAAATCTTTTACAAGTACAGACAAATAGCTAGTACATACTACTGGCCATAGAAAACTGTGCAATGTTGAAAGATACAGAAATGTACTGTATGTATTGTAAGTTATCTGAAAAGAGCACTTGGGTGCTCTCTAACAGGGATCATTGGCCTAGGAGGGGCCAGGAGGGGCTGAAAAGGGCCATCAGGTCTAGCTCAACACTAAATCAGACACAATGAACTTGGAAGTAAAATTTGTTTTTTCTCCAATTTATTAGTATTCATTTAATAAGTCAGAGTAGACAGTTTTATGCACTGTCTACTTTATGTCTCTGGAAAAACCCAGAGTAAACAAAACAATTAGTGAGGAATGATCAGAAGAGATTAATTTTTAATACTACTAATTTTATTGTTAACAATCACAGTCTGTTACAGTTTTTAAGGCTTGACATAGTCAAGCCCAACTATAGCTCCACTCAGAGCTACATGTACATGAGTTACATGACTTGTACATAATTCTATTTTACGTACCAGTTGCATGTTGAGTAGATGGGAATAAAGCAGCATTGTGATGTTATAGACATAATGGATTCCAGGTCTTTAGATTACCATCTCAATTAACACACTGTTAATAAGCCTATTACATACTTGCAGCATGCAGATCTGAAATACAATTTTTTCTTTGGAAAATATGCACTACTCAAAATTAGAAAATTACTTAGTGACCATGATTTGGTCATACAATACACCAGGACGTCCAGGCAACAGATTGGAATTGACATATGGTGGTGTATTCCTCCCAATGATAGTGAGTAATCATCATATAAATCTATATATAGTGAGGTAATACTATATGGAAACAGGATTTCCAAATTGCATGGGTGCAGCAGGAGAAGTGAATTCCACTGCAAGTTGTCTTTGATTTTGACAAATGTTAGTTCAATGTTAATTAAGCTCAGTGTTTATATTACCAATTTTTAAAACAATATTTCAAAAATATAATTCACTACTTGAGAAAATTACCATGAAACTGACAATATGTTTATGTCATTAACATTTGGAAAAATCAGCCAGACAGATCACAAATCCCAAAGTCATCAAAGAGTTTTTATATTGTTGAATTTTATCCAAGTACTGTTTGAATTAATCAATAGAACATCTAATAATTTACCATATTTCCCTCATCTTGCATTCCAAAATCATGACAGTCATGCTCCATGAACATATCATATTCAATAAATGAACCTTCATCGAGCAGTAGATGAATTCTCTCTCTTGCAGTTAACTTTCCCTGAAGTCGATAACAATATCAGAATAGCCACATACCTTTTGCACTTTATTATATGTCTACATGTTAAATAAATGATAAATTAGTTATGATAAATTAGTTTTGTAAAATGTTTTATTTTAACCCATCTATTAATGCCCTCCCCTTCATCCTTTACCCTTGATGAGTAACTGTAAATGTCTCCTGTTAACCCGCATCAGCATGAAAGAACCTTGGTGGACCCAATTGGGTATATGTTGGCAATACAGATTTAGAATTAAAATTTAATTTATTAGCTGTACGTGCCTTAAATATACATATGTTTTTTTAGAATAAGGAAGGACCTTTGTGGGTGGTTGTCACTTAATTTAGAACTGGATTGATTTGAAGTACTGGCAGAAGATCTAATTTGTCTGGAGGTACGGATGACTGGAAAAAGAGAAGGTTTATGATTGCTAGTTCGTGTATTATCTTCATTGTAAAGAGAACCATGTCAAGGTGTTTGTGCAAATAGCAGATTAGTTGAAGGGATAGATGCTGGAGTCTGGCAGTATATAGTATTATAGTCTATGATGCAGCTGTGTTGTAACTCATGGATGTATTTATAGTTGCTTTCTTGATCTGTATTCTTTCAATATGCCTTAAAATAAAGACTGTGGAGCCCAAATTTGCATTGCATGACCCTAGTGTGGTCGTACTAGAGCCAAGATACAGTATATGTTGTACCACAGTTGTCTGTTTCATGTACGTTTGCTATCCCACACTCCAATATCTCATTCACTGTCAGTTTGTACTACCGGTATGTTCGAGTTGTTTAGTTTGTGGGTGGTTGCAATTGGTATGAGCTTCCTTGTACGTGATCTGTTGGGATTTACATTTTGTCTTCTTGAAAGGGAGGCCAGACACTGACAACCAATTTGTGAGGTTGTTGGGGTGAGGTTGTTGAGATCAGGTTGGAGGCATGTTCACAATCATCTTCAGTTCTGATGGTAATAAAAAACATTTTTGTATCGTCAGCAAACATTGCAACTGGTTGGATATAACAGCATCAAGAAGGTTGCTAATGTATAAGACAAAGAGGATAGGGCCAAGGATATCTCCGGCACGCAATTTTGATGCTTTCTATATATTTACTATTAAATTTTCGAAATCTCCGGCACGCAATTTCCAAACTTTCCAGTCTGGAACAAGTTAAATGTGGCCAATAAAAAATGTGCAGCCTTGGCGACTAACCTCTACAGCTGTATATTGCCGTTAATTATATTTTATGTCAAGTTTTTCACAGTTCTAACACTTGTTAAATATATTCTTTATAAGGAAAATTAAACTTCCTCTTTAAACGTACCCTCTTGTGCTGACGATCAATTCGGTTCTGCCCTCCACCAACTAACGCCTCTTCTCTTTTTTTCTCGATTCTTTCAGTGACATTTGATGAAGACGCACTAAGTATTAGAGCATTACTAACTCGTTGAAAACGATTCCTATATTTAAATACAAGAGGCGAGAAACTTGCTTTGGATATTCTAGGGATGTGACTCCACACACGTCCCAACACGTTCGCCATTTTGCTTCACTGCTATAAAAGTTTTAATTTTGTACTTTTCACGGATGTGGTATAGTCAACGTGCTTAACGGAGAAAGGTCATTGGTTCACACATGGCATATCCTGTTGGATTTGCTTTGTCATGTTAAATAACATACATCAGCAAGCCAGATTGTAAAGTATTATTTTTGCCTCGATTGGAGAATTTCCGAGAATATGTCATGGGGCATAGTCATTTTCAGTTCTTTGTGTATGAAGCCATGAAGCTATAAAGCTATGATATGTATACTAGCTTCATAGCATAATGATACTTGTGCGAATCACTGATAGAAATTTTTGTCGAGCACTTCTATCATGAGCCCCTGGCTCGAGTGATTGGGCAACCACACTCTGTGTCATTCGACATTAAATAAATTATTCTATAAACGGAAACCTTATTTTGAAGTATACTATCTAGCGAACACCATTCTAAATCCAAAGAAATTCATGACCATGGCATAGATTTTCCTTCGAAGCGGAAACACTTCACCACACGTTTCACGCGTGGGTTACACGCAGTGGATTTATGCGTAAACACGCTTCCACACGCGAAAGATCATGTGTGTCAAATTGTTTTTCTTTGTCGAGACAAATTATTTTGTTTACAAATCAATTTAATACATGAAAGATGAAACGATACCAAACTCATATTTTACCATTGACATACTGTAATATGTTACAGTTTCTGGATTCTGTAACGTCTGTTCGTATCGTTCATCGAAATGGCCCGAAATGTTGCAAAACGAAAACTCATTTGGAAAATTTCTAATTGGGTACAGTAACATAAATAATTAATTGTTACCGGTGATGCATAAATTAGCACCGTAAATAACCTTCAAGTTAAAAAACGTACAAATTTGAAATTTCAGGCGGCCATCGAAAACGAGCAGGGTGTTTTTGAATTCCTTTTTTATCTGAGCGTTTTAAAATCTATATCGCAGATGAAATGGAGAATGCAAGTGCTACATCACTGTATGTTCAAGCATGCAAGTTTCTACTTTGTGGTGAAGATAAGTCATCCTGGGATCAACTCATGGCAGTCTTGCCTCAACTCAGAAACGCTTTGACTTGTCGTGTTTGTCGTGGGTTAATTGTAGATCCACTGAGCTCAGGGTATTGTCAACATTATGTATGTAGGGCTTGTTTACAGAAAAAACGAGCATTAAATCCTGGATGTAAGTGGTGTTTAGACTTTAGCAAACTCAGGCAAAGCGACGAACAAATTCGAGTTGTACTCGCTTGTTACAAACTCCTTTGTGAAGCCATAAAGTCATCGAGTTTCTATGTAAGCAGCGACAAAAACATAGTCGTAGATAACCTATTGAAGGAAGCTAAACTAAACTCGGACGTGTTACCAAATTCAAGTTTTGTAGTTTCAAATAACTCAAGAATTTTGGATAAAAAAATGGTGGACAATGTATCACGTGATCAATTGAAAACGTGTGCGCGGGAAAAGGTAGATGTAAAAACTGCTGTAGGTAATAACTTTCATACAAAGAAAATCCAAGAATCAACAACAAATGACATTTTAGAACATTGTGATGAAAAGTCATTTGAGCTTCTTAAACCTAGCATGATAGTGGTAGAAGGAAAGAATAACCAACTGCAACCAAATGCATTCAAAGTAAAACCTGATAACAGTAACAACAAATATATAAATGGTAACAACTGCAATGATGTCAATGATTTGGTCACCATAGAAGAAAAGAATGGCCAATTGCAACCCAACACAATCGAAACGGAACCTGATAACACTATTGCAAATTGCACCATTAATGTGATTTCTTTAGTAGAAAAAAATGCCCAACTCCAACCAAATGCAATCAAAATAGAAATTGACAACACCAATATTAATTGCAGTGATCAACTTGATTTCAACAGTGAGGTCAGTGAGGAGATGGATTCCAAAAGCAAAGATGATTCTTGTGAGATAAATAACAATGGAGCTAAAACTCATTTTGTACAAAAGGTAAAGTCAAGGAACAAGAGAGCCTGCTTAAGACCACGAAATGGACAGTTGGTTCAAAAATTTGAAGCAGGCAGGTATATGAGAAAACGGAAACTTGCTGCACAGACCTGTAATCAGAAGAATAGGCCGAGAAAGAAATGTAAGATTGGTTTAACTAAATAAGTAGTGAGATGTACTATAAAACTTCAATTATTTTTTTAGCCAATATGTAACAATTAGATCCTTAACACATAGGAATATTTCTACTATTTAGGTTAGGTAACAATGTAACTGCTCATTAGGCCAATAAATGACTTAAATGTAACTTTTATCTAGCCAATTAGTTAGACTAAATAGCAGTCTTTACCAATTTCAAAATATGTAATATCTATAATATCTATAGTTAGGATTATTTTAACCTAGAATTTGTGACTTGCATCAGAATATTGTAAAAGAATACTGAAAAGCATGTACAAGAATACTGTAAACCTGAAAAGTGTCATTCTTTTATGTTTTTCATCTGTAACTTATAATAGGCCAATTAGCCTTCTCACGCCCACTTTTCTGCCATTTTGGGGGTACTGCCTCTCCCATGTTTGAGAGTCTCCACATCATGAAATGCAATTTTTTAGCCTTGATGTGTTTGCATAATGGTAAATTTACAGTTACAAATTTAAAAGTCGCTTTTCACGCTGTTTGAATTGTCTAGAATCTATTATGAGGGCAGACAGTACCCAAAATGGCAGATTTTGGCATTCATGAGAAAGGCCAATTGGCACTATCACTTGCCTCATGATGCAGTGCTTAAAATGCATGTAGACATATAGCCCGCGTGCAGGCCCAAGGGAGCAGGCTGAAGGGAACTTGCCTGCATGCGGGCTAGTAGACATATTTTCAACAGCTGTATGGGCAGTTTTTAAATGTTTTTGTGTGTGTCGGTCATCAGGAAAAAACTATTCCAGGATGCATTACAGATCCCTTGCATTGTGCATGGCACAAACCTAATCATCGTTAACAGTCTAGTATTCCCACTTTCTTAGATGTCTTTGTAAATGATAATTGTACCATGCATCAAGGGATCCACTCTAAAAGGGCCGGTTTTATACTATTAAAATTTGGTGTAAACATAAATTTCTTTCAGACTACAACGATACATCCTTTAGATAAATTATTCTACCACAAATCTCCTCTTGGTCAGGGAGTCTCATGAGTTGTGAGTGAATCGCCTTTCATCTTCATTCATGTGAGCAAGGCTTCCGGGGCCAAGGAAGTATCATGATGTGACATAATTAAAACAGTGTATTCAAATGTCCTTCAGAAACAGTTTAATTAACCAGTCAAACAAATGAAACAATTGGGCAAGGGCTTCTTTAACTGTAAAAAATGAATGGTATTTTACTATTTGTGGAAATTATAATAACCAATAATGGATGTTCAGTTTCTCCATGATTGGTTTAAACATGGCAAATCTTTTAACAATTTTATTGACATTTTACAAGCTGTTACTCCTGTTATAGCATCACACAAGTAAATAACATTTTTTGCACTTCCTTACATTATATTAACCTGTTGTGTATTAATTACAAGAGGTGCAAATAAACCGAATACATAACATATAACCCAACTAATACATAAGTAGTAACATAACTCAACTAATCCAAACAATACCCAAATACACTTTACATCACAAGCAAGCCCTTACAGTAATAAAATATCAACAGATACATGTATACAAACATTGGTCACAGATGCTGTAGCCTCCATAACACAAACAGTGTTTCCGAAACACCATCAGCTTTAGGGAAGCCAAGGTTGCTATGCAGCAAACAATTTCATTTTTTCATGTCACTTTTAACAAATATAAAAGTTTTCAGTGTTGATATACAGTTATATCAACACAAGTGGATATTGGGAAAACAAGAAATTGTGAGGAAACACAGAGGGCAGAGTGTTTTCACACAATTTTGATTTTTCCCAATTTTCATGAGTGTTGATATTATAACTGTATATCAATACGGAAAAATGTTTTATATGTTTTTAATATAGCACAAATAATACAAAGAAAGAAATTTTCTGTGTTGACATTGATAAGATTTATGTCAACACGTCTCTTAGCCAATCAGCATTCAGAATTTACAAATGCTATAATATAGCAAAGTTGCTAAATGTCATACTGATACATATTTTCCAGACATTTATTACAGCATTTCACACAAGTGAACAACTATGTAGCATAGATAATAGCAATTGTATTAGGACTTCTGATAATAGCAAATGTATTAGAACGACTAAAGGGAAGTAGGGGCATAGGCAGCCCAAAAAGGCATGGTATTTGTCTCTTATGTAGTCATGGTATTTGTCTCTTTTATGTTGCTTGGGAAAGTTTTGAAAGCTTGCACGTGAAAATCTTTCACTCTTGGGTATGCATATACGAGTCCAGTACAAAACGTCATCATGTAACAACAGCACTTCATCAAAATTTAAAAAATATGACATCACCACAGGGTGGGTAACCCCAGCATAGTTTTATTTTGTTAAAAACCCAAAAAAAATTCGCTTTTTTAAAAAATTAACATCCTTAGAATAAGCTTTTGAATTTAGAACTTTGGGAGAACATAGTAAAATTACCAGTGTTTGAAATGATGTATATATTTTAATTGTTTTTGCTTGTAATTTGCAAAATATTTTTAGTAAACGTTGTAATAAATTTCCGTTAAAAATCTTCCCAACCTTGTCATAATAATAAACAACGCCCTAGCACCATGTGCGAGCGCGAGAGATTTTTACTCACTAGCTTTCAAAACTTTTCCAAGCTATGACTAATGAGACTACATAAAAGAGACAAATACCACACATTTTTGGGCTGCCTATGGTAGGGGTTAGTTTCACATTCCTTACCTGGGGAAGACGTGGATGTTTTCTGGAATGATCCATAATTATGTTATAGGCTATACTCTGGCCGGTTGTCATTGTCAGCAATCTCAATATAGTTGTCTACTTTTCAAACTCTGAATCTAGAACTCTAAAATGAACATGTCTATTTGATTAATTGTTCTTCAACATGGACAACCATGTGCTCTTTTAAAGTTTTTAAATAAGCAAAACACTGATCACAGAAATCACATTTAAAAGGCTGCTCTCCAGTATGTGTTCTCTTATGACAGATCAAGCCTGCTGACTGAGAAAAGGCTTTGTCACAAACATCACATTGGTAAGGTTTTTCTCCTGTATGTGTTCTCTTATGATTGGTGAGAATACCACCTTGGGTGAAGCACATGCCACAGATGTCACATTTATAAGGTTTGTCCCCTGTATGTCGTCTCGTGTGGCGAACCAAGTTGGATGAATGTAAGAATGCCATTCCACAAGTATCACAAACATGCGGCTTTTTTCCTGTGTGGGTTTGCTTGTGCTGGTGCAGACCATAAGATGTGGCAAATGCCATATCACATTTTTTGCATTTGTAAGGTTTTTTGCCAGTGTGTAATACCTTATGAAGTTTCAAGCTTGATAATTGGGTATACGACTTCTCACAAATGTCGCATTTATATGGCTTATATCCTGTGTGGGATCTTTTATGTTCTGCCAAAGTATCTGTACGGGAAAACATCTTTTTACATATGTCACATTTGTGTTTTTTCTCCCCTGTGTGAACAGCCATGTGACGTTTCAAATGACTGGCAAACATAAACGGTTTAAAACATTCCTCACATCTGAAAGAGTTGTCTCTTGCATGAACTCGTGCATGATAGCTTAATCTCTGTTCACTACAAAATGTCTTACCACAAACTGTACATTTTGCTCGAGGTTTCTTTTCAGCTTTAGGACATTCACCATTTGAACTTTCTTGATTCATTTTCTTTTTACAAATATATAATAGCCAAGACAGGTGGACACACACACACAAACGTTCCCACAAATATTATATTTAGATATAATGTTTATTAGCGACCTACAGTTACTCCGTTGCTGATACTTGTTTCTGCCAGAAAATATTTAGTTTTCGCTTTTAACTTTATATAAACCAACAAAAATGGCGTGTGATCATCAGCTTCGTGTCAGCTTTTTCAAGGAAGACTGGAAGAGGTCACGTGGGTTTATCCAGAGCAATGCCTGTGCGCGGGCTAGGACATATTGCTCATACCACGGCTTACACGAGCGCTACACTCTCCTCCGCAGAGGCTTTGTTGAATTTTTTTAGTTTGTTTTCTTTCTATATTGTAGTTTGTTTTCTTTTTATATATAAACTAAAGTTTGACTATAGAGTTTGCGGGCAGTAGCGGGCTAGGCAGAGAAGTGGGCACGCGGGCGGAGCGAGCGTGCGGGGTTAAAAGGGGGCATCGTGGACATTTGGAGATAATAGGGAATCTTAAAAGGGGCATCGTGGACATTTGGAGATAATAGGGAAAGCGCTATGTCCTATGACGCAAATTGCCGCCAAAAATTAGCCTGCGAACAGGCTCTTAAGCTGAATTGAGAGCCTGCATCGATGACTAATGAATTTGAATATCTGCGTCTCAAATCGTGACGCGAAATTCTCATTGGTCAGATGCTATAATTTATATGTTTCCGCTGAGCTCTATATATGTCAACTGCTGAAGCACTATGCATAAAAAACACATTAACTGATCAAATTGGTCTTGCTCGTCTTATCTCAAAGCACGAAATGTTCTGTTTTGAGAAAACAGTATTTAAAACATTTAAACTTTTGCTTGAATATCTTATATTTCGAAAAACAGTATAAACTATACGGTCTAAATTTAGGGGCGGACCATTTGATTTTTGAGGGGGGGGGTGGAAGATTCAGTCTGTGCAAGAATTTTTTTTCCGCCCAGGCGAACGAGACAGATATTTTTTTCCTGTAAAAGTGCAGCGCAAGATATTTTTTTCCCAATATATTTGGCCGCAGGATATTTTTTTTGCCTCTTATAATAACGGCTTACAGTAACTTTAGGCTTTCATATAGCTATCATCGGAGACGTAGCAGGGGTTTTCAGTCAGAGGAGGCCGAGAACTGAATCCCAAGAGGGGCCAAGGAATTTTCACTGTGCTTTATTTTATATATGGTTATGTCTTAATGTTCCCCACACAAAAGCGTGCAAGTTTACTTACAAAGAATGTATAACTGCACCAAAACCTAAAACATGCAGGGATAGAGTAGAGTACTCGAAAATGGGGGAGGGTACAGTATATGAATGACCTGTAACCTTGGCATGCTCCCCCGAGAAAATTTTAAAATTTGAACCTCGGAAATGCTATTTCCTGCGTTTTCAGCCATGGATAATTATCTTAAGCCCAGATTTTCTCAGGGGGGGGGCAACAATTTTGCCAGGGAACA